GAATAAGTTATCTGTGGATGTGGATGAAGGGATGAAAGCTAGACATGTAAATCCAGTCACTGAACATTAAAAATTAAGAAACTGGCAACACAAATAAGGAATTCCCTTTTGTCCTTTGAATCATAAAATTAGAATTTAACAGAGGGAAAATAAGGAAAGTCGGGATAAGAAGCAGGAAACCTAAAGATGAAAGAGATTATAATCTAATGTGGAACTAGGAAGCAAGGAACCTACCTCTTTCGTAGGGACATCACGCCGGGAGAACATCATCCCCGTCAAACACTGCCACGGGAAACAGTGGTCTTTGGCACAGACTCGTTCTTTGTGTCAGTTCTTGCTCAGTCTCCCTCTGTCATTCTCCCATTTCTCCCTTCACCTGGGAGGTCAAGTACTTCCTCTGTGCCACACATGCTGGAGGACATTCTCACACGTGAGGAGAGACTCAGAATAAACATCCAGTTGCTGGTACAGTAGGATGAAAGCTAAAGTGTGTGTCATCTCGGGCTGCCATGGAAACACAAAGCACCCAGCTCAGCCTCGGGAGGCCGGGAGGGTGTTCTGGGGAAGATACTTTAGCAGAATCCTGAGGTTTAGGAGGTGGTCAGCAAGGAAGTGTTGGGCTTGGCATTTCAGATGGAGGAGCCAAGACGCCCAGGCTCTGAGAGCGTGAGGCGCCCCGGGGGAGCTGGGCTGTGCCACGGCTGCAGATTGGTGGTTCTCGGCGTGGAAGGAGACATGACCCACACAGTAATGTGGTAACCGCTACACGCTAGATGGGGTGTTTGCGTTTTCACGCGCTGAGGTCTAAGGTGAACCAAAGTGGGAGTTTCGGGCTGCTTGGGGAAGAGAGATTTTATTAATTGACTGACTTCTTCACTCACAGAACCCTTTAAATATTTATATACTCTGTGCCAGAATATTCTTTCTCTGTTCCCATTGCAGATGGGTTCTTCTTTTTAGAACTTGATTATCTTACATTGGTATAGCGTTGTAACTTGGGTTATGTGTCATCTTGATTTTCGTGAGAGTTCGAGAGAACGGCTTCGTCTTTGTTCTCTGTTCTCGTGCTGGTCACTTCTGCACCCCCTCCTCTCTGGCTAGTGGTTTTCCAGCATTCCATCTGGGTTTCAGCCCCCACGAGACCTTTACCATCCTGTTGCTCTTTTCCTGGATTTCTAAGCACCCTTCATGTTGGTAAGGTCTACTACCAACCAGTATTGCTGAGATTGCATTTCTATGTCAGGCATGGCCTTCTCAATACATTTAGAGGTTCCTTAACATTCAAGACCAAGGTGTTCAGTTGTTGCTGAGCTTCTGTGTTCGTTGAGGTGAGGATTCCATAATTGTTCCTCTCGGTGATTGTTTGGTTCTTGTCAAGGAATAAATAAAATTCTCATTACTGTTTCTGGATTCAACAGGAAAGGCCATACAGAAAAAAAAACTGATGTTCAGCCTCTCTGTAATATAACATTTTTTCAGGTTTATCAAAGTATAATTCACAAAATTGTAAGATATTGTAATACAATATTGTATATCATCTGTAATTTCACGTTTTCATGATAACTTCCTAAAAGTTTTTCCTGACACCATAACTAATAAATGCAAAGAAGTCAGAGATGAAGTCCTCCTCTAGATTTGGCAGGTTAAAAAAAAAAAGAAGTAAAATGATTTTGAATTTGAGCAAAATTGCTATTGATAGATTTTAATGGTTCCTAATTGCATAGATATTTTATGCCATACTGCGTCTTCACTTAATAAATTGCTTCAAGTATAAACAACTGGTATTAAATTGCAAAGTAGGGCCACTGAACTGGTTCGTCTTCAGTCCTTTGGTAAGTTGTTTTAGAGCTGTTCACATTTTCACCGTTCAAGTTATTTTTTAATTATAGGAAGGAATGAATAGACAAAATAAACATGTGACCAAGTGGTTATGGAAACCTCTTATTTTCTTTTTCTGAATAATGGAAACTCCTTCCTTGAACAGGAACTTGAATATCTTATTCTCACTTATTATTGCATATTCTTGCTGACATAAATGTTTGCAGAGACCTTCTATGGATGATGACTTGGGTGAAATTTGGGAACAAGGACATTCTTCCACTCATATAGTCTGTTGTTGGAATTTGTTTGGATCCTGCATTGTGGGTAGAATCTGTTCTTAGTGGGTGGGGATTCCTTAAGAGAATTTTAAAGTTCTCCTTCAGTATGTTTGATAGATTTTGCTCCGTGGTTGCATCCTTTCCCGTGTCTTTTCGGTCTTGGAAATGATGACTGTTATCTTCTAAGAGGATGAATGACCCTGTCAGCACAACGGGGAGAGGGAACGAGACGGGGACGGGAGGTGTTAGGAGCCGGGGATGTGGGGCGGACATGTGCTCCGAGCTGTGGGTGGATTTCACACACATCGGTGCAGAAAACCCCCACAGCACCAAACTGGAACACTAGGACCCGATAAGATGAAACCCATAAAACTAAAGGAAAGGGAATTGATTTTTTTAATATTGTACATATGTATGTATGGATGGATGGATGGATTTATTGAAAGCGCGCGCATAGCGGGGGAGGGGCAGAAGGAGAGGGAGAGAGAATCTCCAGCAGACTCCCCACAAAGCACATTTGCATCACTAAGCACAGGGCTCAATCTCACGACCCTGAGATCATGACCTGAACCAAAATCAGGAGTCAGACGCTTAACTGCCTGAGCCATCCAGGCGCCCCAAGGGAATTAATCTTTTAAAGCACTTAAGAGAAGAGGAATTATTATAGCCTTTTGACATATAAAACTCTCGTGAGGTAAGAATTTTAACTTCGTCTTAGTAAGTAAAAGTTGAAGATGAGATCATTGAACCCAGGCGGTTGTTCAGCTAGTGAATAATTGATCTAGAATGTGAGCCCCACGTCTTCCTTATTCCATGACCATTGTGTTGCTACCTCCTTACTGCCCTCTGAATATGCATGAAATCATAGGGAGCACAGGATAAGTCACAGAAAAATGATTATTTTGCTGAAGACAAGTGTACATGTCCTTTTGGGTATTCTTGATTCTGCGTTTTCTTTCAGGGTTTGTGCAGCAGTGTGTTATGAAAAATAACAAATGAAACACTTTAAGACCAGCTCTTTGATTGCTCTCTGTATACAGCATTGGAGGTTTTTCCAAGACACTGAGGTTATCTTAACACTTAGCCTAAATGCTTCTATTTTAAAGCAGCATAATTATCTGGGAAACAGCACTGCAAGTAAACAGTCTGTTTCAGGATTTCAGAGTTTCACAATGCCTTCAATGTGTCTTTCAATGAATAGTTGACTTACTGGGACGCCTGGATGGCTCAGTCAGTTAAGCATCTGCCTTCAGCTCAGGTCATGATCCTGGGGTCCTGGGGTCCTGGGGTCGAGCCCCGTGTCGGGCTCCCTGCTCATCGGGGACTCTGCTTCTCCCTCTGCCCCTCCCCCCACTTGTGTGCACATGCACGTGTGTGTCCTCTCTCTCTCAAACAAATAAAATCTTTAAAAATAAATAAAATAGTTGGCTACTAAAATTGTGATATAGGCTTTTTTTCCCCGCCCATTTGAGAAAGGACTAAAGTTTCGGAGTGCAGAATTCGTTTAAGGAAAAGGGTGGTAGTTGTCAACAATATAAATCATGACGTGAAATTATTTATGTTTCAGTTGGGTCAGGAGACCTCTGGTAGCAAATACACTCTCATTATAATCCTTCACCGCGATAGTAAGAGACTTCAGGGGAAAGAGACGGTCTATGTAGGAAAGATAGCTGTACCATTTCTCGGAAGTTAGCTGGCATCGCTACACCGTGCAGTTTAAGTAGCGTGAACGTTTTTTCTGCTAAGTAGGTGTATTTCTGGGGTGTGGAAAGCATGTATTTCCCCACTGGTGTCATCTTTTCCTACAGTCTATTATTAATACTGATCTGGTATTTTTATTATTTATTTGCTTTTAGTGTTCCCCTTTGTCCTCCCCGCCCCAGCCAGTGCAGAGCCTGGGTCTGGCCATCCTCTGGCACTGCGGATGGATGGCAGTCTGCGGACTTCACCTCTGTGACTCCTTCCCGGTCTGGACCACCCTGCCCGTTCACTTTCACCTGTTAGAAGCGTGACGCGGTGGGGAGAGGGAAGAGCTGCCGGCGGGGCTTCTTTAGACTTGCGAAAGGGGACAGCGCTTTGATGACCATGTCTGCAGACTGGGATAGAGGAGCCTGGCCTTACATAAAGGTTCCCGTGTACTTACGGGAATCCGGAACAGACTGTCCCCCACATCCACAACAGTAGCCCTGTAACTAGTGTCACCAGGGAGTGTGCTGGGGCTTCATCTTGTCAGACAGGTGCATATAGTAAAGTTAATACGTGTATCTTAACGGGGAATTGTAGTTTTTACCAGTAAATGTAAATTAGAGGAATAATCTATTCTAGTTTCTGGTTTCATGTTATTTTAACTATTTGAACTTCCAGTACAGGCCAAAACTTACCTTTCTAATTTCCTTTAGACACTTACTAAGAAATTTGTTCAAACATGCTTGAATGTCAGCAAGCCACTTGGTAACCGAAGCAAAAGTTAGTTTGGCTGCGTTGTTTACCTCAAGCAAAATCAGTCTCTTTCAGCAGCATGGGGGTGGGGTGAGAAGAGTAAGTGCAACGAGCAGAAGTCAGGGGTAGATGAGTCACCTGGGTGTTGGGGGATGGGGGCGTCTGGGTTTGCATTTTCGTCCTCCTCTCTTCACCAGCCTGCACTGGGTATTGTCAGTCTGTGAAGTTAAACGGGATTTTTCACAGTTTTCATTTGCATCACAGGTAACGTGTTAATGGAGCCTCTCTCTCCCTGTACAGATACGGGTTCAGGTTCATGGGTATATTCATTGCTCTGCTGGCCCCGAGCTGCTCGAAGTGCTTTGGATACACAGAGTGTTCGGGAAACAGTTGAGCACTTTGATAAAGACTGATTTTATTTATCTTGAGAAAAAATTAATGTTTTTTTTCTTTTCTGTTTAGTTGCTGATCATCTGGGCTGTGATCCTCAAACACGGTTCTTTGTCCCTCCTAATATCAAACAGTGGATTGCCTTGCTGCAGCGGGGAAATTGCACATTTAAAGAGAAAATATCACGGGCTGCTTTCCACAATGCCGTTGCCGTAGTTATCTACAATAATAAATCCAAAGAGGAGCCCGTCACCATGACTCATCCAGGTAAACAAAACAAGGGGGGCTTGTAAATTTTGTTTTTCCTTCTAGAAATTAGTGCTTTGTAGGTAAGCATTCTACCACCACTGAACCACATCATTCACAACCTAATTCTGTGATTATATTCGTTTTTTGATATTCATTTTTGGTATTACCATTTGTTTCTTGAGATGCATGTCTTTTTCCTTTAGTGGAATTTGTTTCTTAAATAATGACGGTAAGAGTCTGTAAAACTTGCACTTATTAAATAACTGGCTGTGACCGAATCCTGAGTCATTTTGCATTTCTACATTCCACTTAATAACTTTGAAAAATAACGTGTTCCATTGAGAATCATTCATCTAGGTTATGGACTCTCCCAGACCTCTTCGAGGAGGATGCTTTTTATCTTATCAGGATAAATGTCGAAACGGACTCAGTAGTAACTGTATTTCTTCATTTCTTGTGGGAGCATTTGAGGATATCTCTAATTTAAACTGCTTTAATAACAACAGTTGCAATTTATTGAGCACTTACTATAAATGCCAGGCACTGGACTATGACGTTTTGGGGGGTGGGGGTTAATAGGCTTTATTCTTTAGAGCAGTTTTATGTTCCCAGCAAAGTTGAGTGGAAAGTACAGAGATTTCCCGGACAGCCCCACACATGCAGAGCCCCCCTCACTATCAGCGTCCCCCTCCAGAGCGCTGCATTCGTTACAGTTGGTGAACCTACAGTGACCTCTTACAATCACCCATGGTCCCTAGTTTACTCTGGGGGTCACTACTGCTGTTGACCTTCTCTGGGTTTGGACAGATATGTACCCACCGTGACAGTATTATACAGAGTATGTTCACTGCCCTAAAGATCCTCAGTGCTCTGCCTGTTCATCCCTTCACCCATCCCTCCCATTTCTCCACCCCTTGGCAACCACTGGTTTTTTTTTTGTTGGTGTTGTTTTTGTATTGTTTCCATAGTTTTGCCTTTTCCAGAATGTCCTGTAGTTGGAATCATACAGTGTCTAGCTTTTGTGGCCTGGCTTCGTTCACTTAGTAATACACATTTAGGTTTCCTCCTTGTCTTTTCATGGCTTGATAGTGCATTTCTTTTGAGTGATGCATAATACTCCCATTTTCTAGATATACCACAGTTTATGTGCTCACTTACTGAAGGACATCTTGGTAACTTCCAAGTTTTGGCATTTATGAATTAAGCTGCTATAAATATTCATGTTTTTGTGTGGATGTAAGTTTCCAGATCCTTTGGGTGCGTGATTGCTGAGTTATGGTAGGAGCACGTTTCATTTATAAACTGCCAAACCATCCTCCCCAGTGGCTGTGCCATTTTGCGGGTCTGCCAGCAATAAATGAGAGTTCCTGTTGTTCCACATCATCTCCAGCATTTGCTGCTGTCCGTGTTCTAGATTGTGACCATTAGAATGAGTCGTTTTATTTTGTGTTTCCCTGCTGACCTGATGTGGTGCTTTTTAATACATGTTTTCATAGTCCTCACCACAGCCGTGCATGGTGCCCTTCTAGACGGGGAGAGCACAGCAGGAGTCAGACCAGCGGGCTTGCCAGTGGTCTCTCCTCTCTCAAAGTTGAAACCTAGATAAAGTTAAGTTCTGCGTTCATAAAGCTTTTAAAGTTTAATGACATGTTTGAAGAATGTTAATGACATACTCAGTTTTAGACATTAATCTTGCAAAGGCCTCTGCACCCTAATTGAGGGTCATCTTTTGTGTCTATTTTGACAGAATAATGAGATGAATTTAAATTTTATTGTTAGGTGACTTGTTTTCTTCCTTTCAAATTAAGCCTTTTAGAACAAAACTATATTTTTTCTAGTTGCAAAAGTAACACATGCTCACTGTAGAAAAAGTGAAACAATAGTAAAACACAAGGAATAAAATAGAATGAGTGATCTTCACTATCCAGAGATCACTGGAGTCCTGTAGCTTTTAATTTCTTCAGGGAGACCATAAGGAGATTAAGGGACAGTCTATTTCAGCTGGCCATCAGTGTGGGAACACTGGATCAGACAGTGGCTTTTCTGCTCTAGGTCTCAGAGCAGGTGCTAATTTGTTCTTGGATGTTTTAGAGTGAAGAGAAACTATTTGAAATTTTGGACCTGATCTTCCCGTACTGATTTCTTCTTACTGGAAACATGAAGAAACCTGGAGAGGGAGAAATTCATCTGAGCAAAATGTATTTTTCTTTCCTGGTGGTGTTATTTTACATACATAAAACTGCAAAGAAGTAGCTAGAATGAGCCTTTTAGATATGAGAAGATCTGGGGAATATAAGAGAGGAAATTAATGTCTTTTTTTTTTTTAATGATTTTTGTTTTAAAAAGGAGGGAAGCCTCGGGGCGCCTGGGTGGCTCAGTCGGCTAAGCGGCTGCCTTCGGCTCAGGTCATGATCCCAGGATCCTGGGATCGAGCCCCGCGTCGGGCTCCCCGCTCAGCGGGAAGCCTGCTTCTCCCTCTCCCTCTGCCTGCCACTCTGCCTACTTGTGCTGTCTCTTTATCTCTATGTCAAATAAATAAATAAAATCTTTAAAAAAAATTAAAAATTAAAAAAAAAAGGAGGGAAGCCTGTATAAATTATCGCAGATTTCCCCCCATCTGTGTTCCTTAAAACATTAATATATTCAGATCTGTTCATAGATGATCCATGGCCAAAAAAAGGTAAGTGGTAAAATAAGTTTAGGAAAATGCTTGAAATGTAGTCTACTTTCAGAGGCTCCTGAGAGACATACTGAGATTCTGAGAGCTTTAGGATTAAGAACTTGTTCTATGTAGATTAACCTGTGGTTTCCCAAATTCATTTGACCATGTAACCCTTTCATCACAGCTTAGTGTGTAACAGCACAAGGGAGGAACTTTAGGGCCAGATTTGGGGACATAGTGTTAGGAAGTGGAACCTTGGTGAGGCAAATGGAATCAAAGCAGACATGAGAACAGTGAGCAATGGCTTTATGTTGTAAGTAGACACATAAAAAAGCCGAGTAATCTGGGAAACTAAATTGGTATAGTACTTCGGAGAGAAATTTGGCATTATGTGATATCATTAAAGAACTCCTACACTGTGATCCAGGAATTTCATGCCTGTATACGTCCTCTAGAGTACTTCCCAGACTCCAGTGTGCATGCAGTACAGAGCACCTGGGCATTTTGTTAAAATGCAGATTCCAATTCAGCATATCTGGGGTACAGCCTGAGATTCTGTATTTTTAACAAATTCCCAGGTGATGCTAATGCCTCTAGTCCACAGCTATTGCTTTGAGAAACAAGGAAGACAGGAAACCTAGGTTTCAGTCCCCGATTTTTCCACTGACTTGCTCGGTGACATAGGACAAGCTGCCTCCTGTCTAGGAAGGCCTCTTGTGACTCTAAACCTCGGTTCTATGGAAGGCCTTGAATCCCCGTCGTGGAGGACAACCACTGTTAGCCCTTCTTACGAGATCTCCCACTTTCTGCCTCCAGCTGTATGGGAGCCAATGGGGAGATTTCATGTACTTACACAAGCATTTGTGGCCCCTCTCTGTCATCCTCCAGGCCCTTGTTACTCTTGTGTGTGCATGGGAAACACACAAGAGTATTCATGGCAGCATCGTAACAGCAAATTACTGGAAACACCCAGCTGTCCATCCCAGGAGAATGGAGTGATTGTGGTGTATTTATTCAGCAGTTAACGGTCAATGAATTAAAGCCACATGTATTTACATGACTAAATCCCAGACACATAATAATGAGCATAAAAGAGTAAGTCGTAGAAGAATATGTACAAATAGCATTTGAATGAAGTTAAAAAATGCAAAACAGTAGTTGCCATATAAGCATATATATATATATATATATATATATGAATAAAATAACAAAAGCATGTATTAGATTAACAAATACCAAATTTTGGAATAATGGGTCTTCCTGGAAAGGGGCTTTGTGGAGGAGGGGAATTTAGGATCAGAGAGAAGTAAATGAGGCGGTTCGGACATGTCTGTCATGTGTCACTTCTTAAGCTGAGGGTTGAGTACATAGATGTTCATTACATTCTCTCTAATTCTTGGGCTTTGAAAGATTTCAAAGTAAAAATCGTAAGAAAACCTCTGTAAAGGATTAAAAAGTAAACAGAAGAGTGGCACTTCTGGGCTGTGACCAAGCGAGGAGATCACCGGATTCTCTTCTCAAAAGAAAGCAACTCTAAAACTGGACAAAACTGACAAAGCAACCACTTCAGTGTTCTGGAAATCAGCCAGAGGCAGACAGCAGTCTGAGGCTCATTTATGCCTTGAACAACTGCCAGACTTTAGGTAGGAACAATGAGAAGCTGTGGTGTTTGGCCCAGGGCTGCTTCCCACACGCCCCAAGCCGTGTCGTATGAAGTTTCTGCCGGGGCAGGGTGGGTGGCAAGGATGGAGGGCTTGCCCTGCAGTGACGGAAGGGTGGGTGACACCCATGCCCAACATTGTTGTCTCTAGAAGTGATGTCTCAGGGACAGGAGGGTGGGGAAAGGCCAGGGTCTGTCTCTCCCAGCCCAGGGCTGCAGCCAAGTGTGTTGTTGTCTGAGACCACATGCTCCGTGGTGATCTCGGAGCTGAAGCTGTTTACACCCCTGCGTGACCTTGAGACTGTGTGCATGCAGGTAGGAGACAGATGGGACTTGCAGAAGTAGCCCAGGCGGGATTGGAAGTGGCCACAGCTTTGAACAATGTTCTCTCCCTACACCCAGATCCATTAGCAGATGGTATCAGCCTTACTGATCAGAGATGTTTGAGCACCCATGTCCAGTAACTGGCTGACAGCTAGTCTTGAAAGAATATTAAATAAGAAACGGAGCAGGGACATCGTCGATGGCTGCACACGACAGAGGAAGCAGACCTCACAGGTCTAGCCTGGCCATGCTACTAAACAAAGCAGGCAAACAAGGTCACAGCAGCAAACTTAAGGGCAAAAAATGCAGAGTTGTGACATTTTATTGTCTGAAATGTCTGGTTTTCAGCAAAAGATGACAAGCTATACAACGAAATATGACAGTGTGACTCATACTCAGAAAAAGAGTCTGCAGGGGCAGGTGGCTCAGTCGGTTAAACATCTGACTCTTGATCTCAGCTCAGGTCTTGATCTCAGGGTCGTGAGTTCGAGTCCCTCTTTGGGCTCTGCACTGGGCATGGAGCCTATTTAGAAAATAAATTAATAAAAGAAAAGTCGGCAGAAGCTGCTTCTGAGTATTCCCAGATGCTGAATTTAGCAGAGAAAGACCTCAATTAATGTATGTTCAGAGAACTAAAGGAAATGATATTTAAAGAATTAAAAAGGAAAATATGACAACATGAATGGTACCAGAAGCCAACACTTAGAGATTCTCAATAAAGGACAGAAAAATTATCGAAAAGAGCCACATGGAAATCATGGAATTGAAGAGTACAATACTGGAAATGGAAAACATCACTTGCGGACTTAAACAGTGGATTCAAAACAGCAGAAGAATCTGTGAGTTTGAAGATAGAGCAATAGAAATTATTGCTCTGAAGAACAAGTTAAAAAAAAAAAAACCTGAAGAAAATGAACAGAGCCTTAAAGGCCTGTGGGACACTGTCACATCCCAGAGAAGAGGAGAGAAAGTGGCAGAAAAAATATTTCAAGAAATAATAGCTGAAACTTCCCAAATAAGATGTTTTGTAGACATGGATAAGGTAATCCTAAAATCAAAGTACCTAGGATAGCCCAAAGAATTTTGAAAAAGAACAACATCAGAAGACTTCATGCTACTTGATTTCAAAACTTCAGTAATCAGGGCGGTGTGACATTGGCGTAAGGATGGGCACATAGACTGATGGGTCAGAACTGAGAGTCTAGAAATAAATCCTTCTTTTATACTCAGTTGATTTTTGGCAAAGGTGCCATGACATTTCCGTGGGGAAAAGACAGTCTTTTCAACAAGCGGTGCTAGAACAGTTGTTCTCCAGATGCAAAAGACAAAAAAGAACTAAGACCCTTACCTTACGATGTGTAAGAATGACTTCACAATAGATAATAGACAAAAATGTAAGAAATATAACTACATAAACCTCTAGAAGAAATTGTAGGAGAGACTCTTAGTCATTTGGGACAGAAAGTTCTTACTCCAAAGACACTATCCATAAAAGACAAGAACAGTGTTAGTCTTCAAAAGTAAAATACCTTGTTATTTAGAAGACACCATGAAGAAAATGAAAAGACAAACCCACAAGCTGGGAGAAAATATTTCCAGCTCATAGATCCGATATATGACTGGTATATGAAGAATTCTTAAAAATCAGTAGTAATAAGATAACTTAATTTTACAATGGGCAGAGGATGTAGTGACTTAATATTTCATCAGTTATTAGAAAACAAAACAATGAGATACTACTTCACACTCACTGGAATGACTATAATAAAAACATTCAGATATGACCATGTTTTATTGAGGACGTGGGTAAATGGAAATCCTTGCCCATTGTTGGTAGGAGTGTGAAATAGTGCAGCCAGTTTGGAAAACAGCTGGGCAGGTGTTTCATTTATTTATTTATTTATTTATTTTTTAAGATTTTATTTATTTATTTGACAGGGAGAGACACAGCGAGAGAGGGAGCACAAGCAGGGGGAGTGGGAGAGGGAGAAGCAGGCTTCCCGCTGGGCAGGGAGCCCGATGTAGGGGCTCGATCCCAGGACCCTGGGATCCTGACCTGAGCCGAAGGCAGACGCTCAACGACTGAGCCACCCAGGCGCCCAGGCAGGGTGTTTTAAAGTGGGGCACGTATTTACCATATGACTCCGCAGTCCTCCCAGGAATCTACCTAAGAGAAATGAAAAGAATGAAATGTCCACACAAAAACTTGTGCATGAACACTCACTGCCTTATTTACAGTAGTCCAAATAGTGGAAACAACACAAATGTCCATCAGTGGGTGAGTGGAAAAACAAAACATGGCCTACCCACAGAATACAGTTCAGCAGTTACACGGAATTGACTACGGATACCTGCAACAACATGGATAAACCTCGAAAGCCTGACGCTCGGTGAAAGCTGGCATTTAGAAACATCTGCCTGTGGCATGATTTCATGTATGTAGAATGTCTACGGAAGTCACATTCATAGAAACACAAGGCAGGTTAGCAGGTGTGCGGGCTGGGGGCTGGATATGCAGATCACCTGCAGTGGGTACAAGAGAACTTTTGGGAGTAATGAAAACATTCTAAAACTGGCTTGTGGTGGTTGTACACCCCCTGTAAATTTACCAAAATCATTGAATTTACACTTACAGAAAGTGAATGTTACGGCATGTAAATTAACCCTTCATTAAACTGTTGTTCAAAAGTGTGATGCAGAGGCACCTAACTGGCTCAGTCAGTGGAGCATGTGACTCTTGATCTTGGGGCCATGAGTTTGAGCCCCACGTTGGGTATAGAAATTACTTTTTTTAAAAAAGTGTAATGCAGGCTAAAGTTCAGAAGCAGCACAAAAATTCTTAAACTGGAAGCTTTGTTTGAGTTGTCTGCCCCTAAGTACTCTTACTTTGAGAGATTTACAGCAAGTACTCATGAGGTGATCTCTTGTGATTTTGGTTCTCATCTTAAGTATTCAGGGCAGAATGATGTTAAAATGTGAGCAAGAAAAATGTAAAAATAAAGACAGTCACTTTGCTTTACAATGAGTAGAGACATGCTAAGTGCCCGTGTGTGTGAGACGGAAAGACTCTCAAGTCATGATGTAAACACAGAGGTTAAATATTTTAGAGTTACAAAGTCTCTGTCTAAACCAAACTGCTCTAGGTTGGTGCGGCTTATTTTATTTAACCTGAAAAGTTACACAGATTATTTAAATGAAAGCATGGGTGTATTGTTAACAGAAGCAATGGAAATAAATCCATTCATTGAAAAGATTTCTGAAATACACTTTTAATTTTTACTTTTAATTAGAGAAAAATTAAAATGCCATTTTGTTTGGGAATTTGTGGATTATGTGCAAACAGGCTCATTTTAGGGTGTGAAAGGGTCCGGGTTGTTTCTTGATAGAAGAACTTTTGCCCTTTCCTCTTTGAACCCCTAAGCTATTGTTCATCATCTCCTGTTTTCCAAGCAGAATTCTGTCTTGGTTTCAGTCTGTTCTCCGTGGTGGTGCACCTGTTAACATATTCATCACCCCAGAAAATTGTCATGGAGTATTTTGTCTGGCTCACAGATCTCTGCTTCTTTAGCAATCCCACTCTGTTCTGCTTTCTGCATCTTTCAGAATCATACGTAAGGGAGTGTCACTGACCTGTAATTTGCCACAGGATTCTGCATCATCTTTTTAGTTATAAAAACAAAATTAAATCTCTGTTGGATAATAGAGCACCTCTGCAATAGTGAAAACAGTTTGGCGTTGACAGTCACAAGGCTGGAATTGGAATCCCAGACCCAGTGATGACTAGCCTTGGGACTTTAGGGGAATGAGTCTTTAAACCATTGGCTCTCACGCGAGAGCATCTGCTTAATTGCCTGACAGGATGATTGTAACTTTATTGAGATAATGAATTTGTTAAGTTGTATAGTTGTTATTTATTATTCTTGTTCCTTGAATGAGCACTACCTCTTTTATAATTATGGAATCAATGTACTTATTTTTCTAACTTTAAGCTAGTACTTATTTTTTTTAATTTCCAAATACACTTTTTCTTTGTTGTTCTGGTCTTTTTTCCATATGACGTAATTGTTTCAAATGCATTTAGCGTAAAATAGTTCATCAACAGGCATTAAATTACATGTGCTCTATGGCAAGCATTCTGTGAGAGACCCTGTAGGGATCTACAGAAGAAGTGTATGCGAGTGCATGTCCTTAAGGAACATTTTACTCCAAAAGGGAGACAAACATGCGTGAAATAACTGGGACCCACTGAGTGCTGACTTAGCGGGGCAGGCCTCAGTATTACCAGAGAACGAGTTCCTGACTCTGAAGGCTGGCAGGAATAATCAGAGGACTTCGCAGAGGAGGCTTTCATTGTGCTGGGCCCTACATCGTTGTCAGGATGGGACCAGAGAAGACCCTGTCCGTGGGGGAACCATGTGAGTCAGAGACCTGCCTGGGGGGCAGGAGTCTGAGGGTGAGGGTAGAAAATGAGGCTGGGTGGGGTGACCACAAGCATGGGGGTTTGGGTTCCATATGCTAATTTGTGACCAGGTATTTTTTTGAGCTCCTGTCAGGTCTCCAGGTGTAAACAAGGCCCACGTCATAGCTGCACGATACCTGCTTTCGTGGAGTTATAATCAACATTGAATCAGAAATGATGATTATGAAAAGATCTTATGAAGCATACCTAGTTCCATGGAGTCAGAGAGGGCTGCCTGAGGAGATGGTGTTTGAACAGGAATTCACAGGTTGAGAAGAGTCTTCTAAGCAGGAGAATCCTCAGGGTTGAAGGCTCAGAGGTGGGAGAAAGCAACGTGAAAGCCTTTTAGATACTGGGCAGGAAAGGGGCTGAAGGGGTGGATGAGGAGATAGTAAATTAAACTTCGAGGCCTCCTTCTCACAGCCGCTGTGTGCCCAAGGCAGGGACTAGTTATTAGTCACGGTGAGGATCTAGGGTTTTGAAAGACGTGGGAGGTGTAGCCCTTGGCCAGTGAGGCTGATGCCGCCTGACTCGATGGCCTCCTCGGGCGCAGCGCTGTGCTAGGGGCTCTGTGGGTGTGGGGCCACCACACCGGGCAGCTGAGCAGCTCTGCTCCTCGACGGCTGCTGCTGGTAAGCAGCTAGAAAGTTGTTCCTGGCTTCTCTGCCTCCGAGTGTGGGCTCAGCAAACTCGGCAGGAAGCGTTGGGTGGGGGTGTGGTGGCCAAGCAAGCCTCACAGTGTGGGCTCCCTCCGCCGCCCGCCAGGTGAAGAGCCTGGAAGCAGGAAGGGCCTGGAACACTGGCCCCCTGGCTGAATTCCAGTGGTGTCCGCATTCAGGGTCAGGGAGACGCTGGTTATAAGAAGATCCTGTTTCAGGCCAGCCAAGTGACACTAGATGGAGGCCTGATAGCCTCTGGGGAATGGGGTGAGCTTAGACAGCACCGGCTCAGCACCCACATCATCTCAAGCCTCTCTGGCCCCCGTCTTTTCAGCAGAGCAATCCTCGACATGCCGTAGCTCTCTGCTTGTACTCCAGAGAGAATTCTGCCCTGAGAAGCACTTGCTGTCCTGCCTCATTCCTGTGCTGCTCCTGCCTTCTCCCTCCCCAGATGCCCTTCTATCCTTGTCGTCTGTCCACGTGAGGCTCAAGGACGCTCGCCTCAGTCACTGGATATCCCCCCCGCAACCTATAACTCATAATCTCAAGGAGTGGACCCAAAGATCCATGTCTCGGCCCTCCCCTGCTGGCCTGTCAGTTCTGCCCACCCTTCATTTTAGTCGAGAAACCTTAGATTAGCACCTCTCTATGCTGTGCATTGCGATGTGAACTAATATGAATTGGGAAGAGTCCAAAAAAAAAAAACCCCAAAGGCCTGGATACGCCCTCGGTGCATTACAGTCCTGGGCCTCGCGGTCTCCAGAGCGCCTTGTTGCCCCTCCTAGACGGTATTGCCCTTCTCCTGTTAGGCTGTTACTTGCATACTTGACTGGCAGAGGGAAAAAGGGCTGCAGGTTTCTGTACGTGGAAGCGTGTGTTTTTCTGTTCTCTGCAGTGGCCAGCAGAATGCCTCAAGCAAAACAAGTGTGTACCGCACTGAAATGATTTTGTGAAGGTACTTAGTTCTGTTGAGCTTTCCTGTCACTTAAGCATAGAGGGCTGACCGAAAAATTACAGGTAGTTAAGTATAAGTATTTTGTGTTCTTGCTCTGTGAACGATGTTCCAAGAGCTTGCCTGTGTTTGTCCTACTGAATGCCCTTCATCTGATGCCTGAAGGACATCTCTCCCAGCGCAGTGTCCGTGACATCATTGACGGGAAAGTCAGCTCAATTTGTGGTTTTCTCCTTTACCTCTAGTTAGCAGGAGGAGTTCTTTGTAATGTAGTTAGCGGATGTGTGGTAGTATAAAAGGAAGTTACAAGCTCTTGGATAGTTTAAAATAATGTATATTTCTCTGAAAGTTAAGGATTTATTTTCTTGGATTTTAAAAATTTAAAAATTTATATAGGCTTTACTGTTACTGTTTATCAGTCTTAGATTGTGTCAAACCGTTCTCAAGTTGGATATCTCTTACAGTTTTATCTGTGGACATTCTTTCCATTGTTAGTAAAAAAATGTTATTTTTTTTTTGCATCTTTGATGAAGATGCAACCAAGTAATGTTGCTTTTCAGTCTTGGTATCAATCTGCAGTATCAGGTGCTTCTTACTGTTCCTTTGGCTGCTTGAGCAGAATTACTTGAATGACCCTTTACCTTCTTTTTTCCATCATATTCTCTTAAAGAAAAAGAAAACCTCTGTAGCTTTATATTGTCAAGCAATAAATAGAAAAACATCACTTTGTGCAAGATAGAAAATTCACTTTGTGAATATAAAAAAATCACTTTATGAAAGCAAGTAAAGATAAATCATAAACATGTTGCAAAATATCTTTAAATAACAGTAATTTGGGCCACTTAGTGTCAATCTAGTATCTTTATCCTAAAAAAACCCATCAAGAAAATAAATAAGAGTCACACTGTTGTTTTACTGTTTAAAGTTTTTTTGTTCTAATTGAATATGGATTTAATTGCCTCAGAAAAGATGGAGCCTACAGTTTAAATGTACTGCTGTGGCAGGAAATAAGAATTTAAATCGCATGTATTTTTTTGCCTGAGTTGCAAATATTTCTCCTACTATCTTCCATGTGATCCATACAATCTTTAGAAAATGCGGGATTATCAAAAAATATATATATAAAACTGAAACACTTAATGGAACAGAGTAGAAAGCTCAGAAATAAACCCACAACTACGTGGTCAATCTTTGACAAAGCAGAGAAGAATATCCAATGGGAAAAAGACAGTCTTTTCAACAAAGAGCATTGGGAAAACTGGACAGCAACATGCAGAAGAAAGAAAGTGGACCACTTTCCTATACCACACACAAATATAAATTCAAAATATGTTAAAAAAGGCCTAAATGTGATACCTACAACCATAAAAATCCTAGAAGAAGATATAGACAGTAACCTCTTTGACATTGGCTGTAGCAACTTTTTTCTAGATATTTCTCCTGAGGCAAGGGAAGCAAAAACAAACTATTGGGACTTCATCAAAGTAAAAATCTTCTGCACAGAGAAGGAAACAATCAACAAAACTAAAAGGCAACCTACAGAATGGGAGAAGATACTTGCAAATCATGTATCTGATAAAGAACTAGTATCTAAAATATATAAAGAACTTATCAAACTCAACACCTGAAAAACAATCCAATTAAAAAATGGGCAGAAGACATGAACAGCCATTTCTCTAAAGAAGACGTCCAAATGGCCAACAGACACATGAAAAGATGCTCAACATCACTCATCATCAGAGAAATGCAAATCAAAACCACAATGAGATATCACCTCGCACCTGTCAGAATGGCTAAAGTCAGAAACACAAAAAACAACAGGTGTTGGTGAGGATGTGGAGAAAGCAGAACCCTCTTGCACTGTTGGTGGGAATGCAAACTGGTGCAGCCACTCTGGAAAACAGTATGGAGGTTCCTCAAAAAGTTAAAAATAGAACTACCTTATGATCCAGCAATCACATTACTGGGTATTTACCCAAAGAATATAAGAACACTAACTCAGAGAGATACATGCAACCCTATGTTTATAGCAGCCGAGATAGGGAAGCAGCCCAAGTGTCCACTGACTGGTGAATGGATAAAGAGTAGTTGGGGGGGGGGGGTGTATAATGGAATATTACTCAGCTATCAAAAAGAATGAAATCTTGCCATTATCGATAACATGGATGAAACTAGAGACTATACTGCTAAGGGAAATGAGTCAGAGAAAGACAAATACCATGTGGAATTTAAGAAACAAACGAGCAGGGGGGGCGGGAAACAAACCAAGATACAGACTGTTAACTATAGAGAACAAGGTGATGATCACCAGAGGGGAGGGAGTGGGGAAACAGGTGATGGAGATTAAAGAGGGTGCTTATGGTGAGCACTGGGTGTTGTATGGAATTCTTGAGTCACTATTTTGTACACCTGAAACTAATAAACACTGTATGTTTACTGGAGTTAAAATAAAAACTTCAAAAAAATAAAACAGAAACACTTAGGCCATAGCTTCTTAAAAATAAAAATTGCTTATAAAGTATAACTGCTGATGGTTCTGTTCAGAAACCTTCCCAAAAGCTCTGACGTTTTCCTTTGTGTCTCTGAATCCTTATTGAAGTAGAAGCGAGGAGTCCATCCATCTGCCAGAGACTTGAGACAGTCTGTCCACTCACCTTCGTGTCTCACTCTGACCTTGCACGCTCTGTCTCCTGAGGGGCCTGCTTCAACTCGCCACTTGGTTTGCCGTTTTACCTTCCTTGTGCTTATCTTTCCCTCACCGGCAGCAGAAGGGAGGAAGAAGCCAAAGTAACGTAAAGGATCAGCCGAGGTTTAGAACACTGGCTTCGAAAGCAGGTCCGTAATTGACAGGATGGAAGACGCGGTTTCCTTGGTAGCTGTCCCTGGGCCGACGGGGAGGCCTGGTGGGGAGGTCTCACAACTCTCCGCACTTGAGGTTTGTCAGAGCGGGGGGCCCCGGAGAGGCAGGAGAATGCTCTGTCCTGTGGGACTGTCCTCCGCATTGGATGAGAGCTGCGTCCCCAGTCCCATGCCTGCAGAGCCCAGTGACAGCTGTCCACGTGAACAGCCACGTACAACCTGTCCCCGGAGTCTGCGGACAGGCTCTGCCCCACTGAGACCCAGTGTCACCTTCCAGGTTTGTGGTGCCTTTGGAGCAGGAATGCAGAGGGGTCCCTTGGCGGGGGGGGGGGCGTGGGAATGGCCGAACGATGAAGGAAAGGGGACAGGCTTATGTAACTCCTGCTAGTTCCACCCTCCACCTGCTGTCCTTTCCGCCCGACCTGGGCCAACTTTTTCATCTTTCTCCCAATGCAGATCTGCTGGGCATGAGTTCTCGCATCACTCACCTATCTGAAAACGTCTTTTTTCTGCCATTGCTTTTCAGGGACATAGACACAGAGTTCTGAGCTGACAGCGCTTTCCACACTTTAAAAAGTGTTGTTACTTTGTTTTCCAGCCTCTGTTCTTCCTGGTGAAAGATGTTCTCTTTTATATAATGTCTTTTTTTTAATTGTATTTTTTTTAGAACGGTGTTACAGAAAAATTGCAAAGACGGTACAAAGAATGCCCCCAGGTTCCCCTGTTAACCTCTTAACGTTAGTTTGGTACCTGTGTGATAACTAGCAACCCAGTCAGCACAGGTACGCAGTCATTAACCAACGTCCGTGCTTTATTCAGATTTCCTTAGCTTTTACATAATGTCCATTTTCTGTGCCAGGATCCAGCCCATGAGGGGGGGTCCCTGTGTCTCCTTTGTCTCTGGCTGCGACAGTTTTATAGACTTCCCTTGTGTTTTGACAGTTTTGAGGACTCCTGGTCAGGTATTGTGTAGCATGTTCTTCAACTGGGATTTGATGTCGTTCTCGTGATTAGACTGAGGATATGGGGCGTTGAGAGGAACATCACAGGGTCCACACTGTCAACATGAATGGTCACTGTCACCTGGCTGTTTGTCGGGCTTCTCCACCGTGAAGCTCCTTGTTTCTCTTGTCCATGCGGTACTCTCTAGAAGGAGGCCACTGTGCACAGCCTACGCGTAAGGAGTAGGGAGTATTACTTGGAATTACTCTGCATGAATGATTTGTTTCTTCTCCATTTCTTAATTTATTCAGTCATTTATTTATATCAGTATGGACTTGTGGATAGTTATTTTATACTTTGTGATAGAACACAGTGCTATTTTGCTTATTTCTGTTGCTCACACTATTCCATCTTTGGCCCTTGGGAGCACTTTCTCTTGGCTCCGGGTCCTTAGACATACACTCATTACCATTGGTATTGGGGTTTTTTATTTGTTTTGTTTTTGAGCACTTTCTTCCTTTCTGGTGCTCTGAGGTGCTCTAGGCTCATCTTGTATGACTTCCTGTCCCAGCCCGAGAATCGGCTGTTTTCTCCCAGGGACCCTGGTTTCCATTGATCAGAGAAGGGCATTAGAAACCAACTCCGGGCATTAAATGTGCTCGTTACTGTTGTGGTTTTGTTGCGTCTGGGCCCTCTCAGCTGACAGAGCAAGGGAATGTGTATGTATACCAACCCTTGTATGTACACGTATCTGTAAATACTTCTGTATGTAACCTTCCATATCTGTATTGAGCTAAGAACGAGTCCGTACCCATGTCTCCAGCTCCAATCCATGACCACATGGATCATTCTAGCCTCCTCCACCCTTGTAAAGTCCCACCCCGACTGAGAAGCCTGGCTCCCACCACCCACCATCCATTTTCTTGTTGAGTTCACTGAGCGCTCTCGGACTTACAGATTCTTAAACATAAATAACAGTCTGCAGGCTTTTAGAGTGCTGGTGCTTGGTGCGTATCTTTTCTGGGTGGAATGCCTCAGTACTTAACCTTTCTCTCTCCTCCCATTTAAAATGCTTCTGTCGGGGCACCTGGGTGGCTCAGTTGGTTAAGCGACTGCCTTCGGCTCAGGTCATGATCCTGGAGTCCCAGGATCGAGTCCTGCATCGGGCTCCCTGCTCGGCAAGGAGTCTGCTTCTCCCTCTCATGCTCTCTGTCTCTCATTCTCTCTCTCTTTTATAATAAATAAAATCTTTTTTATAAATAAATAAATAAATAAAATAAAATGCTTCTATCAAAAATTTGTAAGAGCAGTCTTCCTCTCTGGGCTCAGACCTAGTTCGCGGCGACATGGCTAAACGCACCAAGAAGGTCGGAATCGTGGGTAAATACAGGACCCGTTAGGGTGCCTCCCTCAGGAAAATGGTGAAGAAGATTGGAATGAGCCAGCACGCCAAGGAAACTCGCTCCTTCTGTGGCAAAACAAGATGAAAAGATGAGCGGTGGGGATCTGGCACCGTGGCTCCTGCATGAAAACCGTCACTGGAGGCGCCTGGACCTACAGCACTGCTTCTGCCGTCACAGTGAAGTCGGCCATCAGACGACTGAAGGAGTGGAAAGGCCAGCAGAAGCTCCACCATTTGAAACATAGCTAGCCTATAATAAATGGGTTCATTTATGTAACAACAACAAAACATTTTGTAAGAAAATACAAATGTAAGTATCTTAACTTGAAAATGACATGAAACTAGGTGGATCTTGGAATACACGAAACAACAGAAAGAAGGTATTCATTAAGTTAACCTGCAAATGCGTTCAAAAACTTAGTAACAAGAGTTTGTGGAGACTTGGGTTAAGTAACAGGTCCAGCAGAGAATCCGTGGGAACCTTCTATCCTGTAATCCCTACATGCCCTAGCGTGTGCCATGGCTCCCAAAATACATATTGAAAGCTTGGGCCGTATCCTTGGGACATAATATTCAGATGTGGGAAGAGGTTAGCCTCCTACTGCTCTTGATAATGGATGTGTTGTATTCATTTTTAGCATTTTATTTATTTTTTAATATTTTTGGATTTTATTTATTTGACAGAGACACAGCAAGAGAGGGAACAGAAGCAGGGGGAATGGGAGAGGGAGAAGCAGGCTTCCCGCCGAGCAGGGAACCCGATGCGGGGCTCGATCCCAGGACCCTGGGATCACGACCTGAGCCAAAGGCAGACACTTAACGACTGAGCCACCCAGGCATCCCTATTGTATCTATTTTGTTGTTTTGTTTTTTTAAGATTTTATTTATTAGAGCACAAGTTGTGGCAGAGGGAGAGGGAGAAGCAGACTCCCCGCTAAGCAGGGAGCCCGATGCGGGGCTCGACCCCAGGACCCTGGGATCATGACCTGAGCCGAAGGCAGACGCTTAACGACTGAGCTACCCAGGCACCCCCACATTTTATTTTAATAAAAACATTGAAAAACTGCTGTCCACAAGTGAACAGGATGGAAAAGATCTGTGAACAGTGTTTTACCATTTGGAATTTAAGCATGAAAATGAATAATGACAGTAATGATTTTATTAGCCCATTAAATAATATAGGAACATGAGTTCATACTAATCTTTTTTTTATATAAGATTTTATTTAAGAGAGAGAGAAAGCGAGCACATAAGCAGAGGGGAGGGGCAAAGGGAGAGGGAGAAGCAGAGCCTGATTTGGGACCCTGGGATCATGACCTGAGCTGAAGGCAGACGCTCACCTCACTGAGCCACCCAGGCGCCCCGAGTTCATACTAATCTAAAAAGTAAAAGTGTATTGAAATCTTGATGAGGAGTGGAGTATTTACCGAGTCTCAAAGTACCTCCGCACAGAATACTTAGGAGTTACAAAGAGGGGAAAGAGTGACTTCTCAGTGGAAATGCCTGGAGAGCAGCCCTTTGGGAAACCACTCAATCAGGGTGAACTTCCACTGTATTGGGCTGTGTCCTCACTGTGCACCACCTGCTAGCACGTGCCGAAGAGAGCACAGCCTCACTTCTTCTGGTGTTGCTGCCAGGAGTGCATGACCTGAGTCTAGCCCTGCGGACACACCGGCTCCGTCCAGACAGAGGGGCTGTATGTCATCTTCCCAAGTGTCGAGGTCAGGGACATCGGGGGGCATCTGAGAGACTGTTCCAGGCTGACAGAGAGCAACGAGATGTGACGGCTGAATGCAGTTCGTGCGGCTCTGATCCCGATCTGCTCTAGGACGTTGGGAAACTGGGGACGCTTGAATGGACTCTGAGATTAGGCAGCAGTAATGTCAGCACGCACTTCCCAGTTTGCGTGGTTGTGCTCTGTTTATAAATGGTTTTTGTTTGTAGAAGACACACTGAATGTTTGGAGGGGATGACACATCGTGCCAGTAACTTCCTCTTGAATGATTTGGGGGGAAAGAGGTTTTTATACCATACTTCCAGCTCTTCTGTGTTAGAGTCTTGAAAAATATTTGTAAATGAATAATCTGGGGCTCTAGGAGGAGTTAGTGTGGAGAAAAGCCCGAGGTGGAGTCCCAGAGAAGAGGCCTTGGACTATCCGAATGAAGGACTGCTGCATGGGAGAGGAATTTCCCTCCATTCTGGGACGTTCAGCTTGAGGTTGGGGTGTTTGTTATATTTGGTGACATCTTACAGTTTATTGGCAGGATTTTTCCTTCTTGATACGTAACAGTAATGATGCACCTGACAGTTGATGGTATTTTACACCATTGATACATGAAATACAGTTTATTTGCTTGGTGGTGCTTTTCGAGCAAAGAGAACCAAGAGCCATGAATGGGCATTTAGGAATCAAGATTTTAATTATAAGGAAGACCTTTCTAATACTTAAAACTGCCTGTGGATAGAGCTAGCTACCTCAGCCGGTCGGGAGTTACTTGTATTGTGTTGAAGATGACCCCTAAGAACTCTCTTAACTAAAAGATTCTCTGACCTCTGCTGACTGATGATTGTCTCCCCAGTTACCCCCTCCCTTCATTTCTGCCTCTAGATGAAGGAAGAAAGTGGCTTTCTCTTTTGTGCGGGCCTTTGCTCCTGCCGTCTTTTCTTTTTTGACGTGGAAAAAACAGATCATATGATGAGTGCCTACACTCAGGAGATGGTATGAGAACAGAAACTGACGTTTGAGCTCTGGGTATTGAGCCCCTTTGCTCTACTTGGTCTGAGACTGAAGGAACGAGGGTTTAGTAGACCCTGGTTCTTGTTGAGAGTGGAGTATCGTCTGGAATTAATCACGTGACTTTGGAGTCCCTCGGTGGCTCACAATTGAGCTCCTGAATGTCAGCCTCGTGGCCGGAGAGTCAGGTTCAAGCTAATCAGTGTTGTGCAACCGTGGGCACCACCCAGATGCCATGGTGCCGGTGTTTTCTTGATTCAGTGACGGAACTTGACCCTTCACTCTTGTGCTCCACACACTTGCTTCCCCACGCTCCTCAGAGGCCTTGACTCCTGGCTGGCTTACCCACGCCATCGTCCCGGCCAGCCTCCGTGTCCACGGGGAAAGTGCACACCTGACCTAAAACCCATCCTCAGTGTCTCCCAGAACTGGTACGTCTCTGGTCTCAAGTCTGGTGTCCTGTTCTCTGACCGATGCTTCTTCCCTTTCTCTCCTCTCCTCCTGACCTTTGGTTTTGCTGAAGCTTCCCGGTCCTTGAGCCCCCTCGCTCCGTTTTCTTCCGGTTCTCCTCCTCTGGGCGTGATGCCTCCATTCTGCTTGGACTGTATGAGCCACCGTTTCAGTCACTGTGATCAGCAGCATCATTTGGGTACTGGAGTGTCTGCTGTCACACACCATTGAGCCCATTTGGCTCCCAAAATGCTTTGAATGTCAGGTTAAGGAGTTTGAACTTTATTTAGTTGACATAAGGGATAAAGGCTTTTTCTTTTTTTTTTTTTTTCTTTAATTTTTGTTGAAGTATGGTTGACACACAGTGTGATCTGAGTTTTGGGTGTACAACATAGGGGTCCGACGATTCTGTACATGACTCGGTGCTCACCACAGGGGTGGTCGTCATCTGTCCCCGTACAGAGTTCTGTATTCCCTATGCCGCACTTCTCATCTCTGTGACTCATCTTACCACCGCGAGCTTGTACCTCTCAATCCCCTTCACCTACCTCGCCCATCCCCCACCCCCTCTATTTAAGAGTCTGGTTTTTGTTGGTTGCTCATTTGTTTTGTTTTTTAGGTTCCACATATGAGTGAAATCATACGGCATTTGTCTTTCTCAGTCTGACTTATTTCACTTAGCATAATACCCTCTGGGCCCATCCGTGTTGCGGCAAGTATCAGAGGCTTTGGACAGAGTGACGTGACAAATCAGGCTTTGGAAAAACACTGGCAGATCTCAGCAGGATGTCTATAATTGATATAACCTGTCGTCTACATCTGTAGATCTGTAGAACTAAAGCTGTATTCATTTCCTAAAAGAACGTAGCATATCTTTTTTTTTTCCTCCCCCTTGAGTTCTTTCAAAGGGGGTCAAAGCAGAGGAGACTGAGGACTGGGTTTGAAGAAGCGCGAGTGTTACAGATAAACATCTGAGAAGGACCGAGGCCCATGGAAGGGACAGTGGGGAGAGGGCCTCAGGCCATTTGCAAGCAGACTCACTGAGGCACAGGCATGGCGGGCGCCCCTGATCCATGCAGCTTGATGAGAGAGTACAGAAGCTCCCTGGGGTTTGCCCACCTGTTGCATGCTGGAAGCTGGGAGAGGACTCCCGCATCTGGAGCACAAATCCCTGTGAAAGCCAGGGGGGCTGTGTTGGTCAGCAGGTGCGCCCGATGGGGAGGAATGAACAAATGAGGGGGAGTTGCAGAATTCGGTCAGAACAGTCCTGTATCAGAGTTCAGTTTCTTGAAAGGCGATAAATGAATCGTGTCCTTGTTCTTAGGAGAGAGTGCTGAAGTATTACAGGAGGAAACGTCATGATTTGAAACTCCTGGGGTTTGAAAATTCTCCAAGGGAGAAGGAATTTTTTTTTTAAAGGCGGGAGGGGGGCAGAGAATAGAATTGTTTTAATAAAGTAGCCAAACTCAAACAGTAGAAACATAGATTCACATTAAAGAACAGAAGTGGAGAAGGTTTTAAGAAAATAGGTGAAAGCAGGGATCGCACTGATTTTTACTGACTTGTCATCTCTGATAAATTAATCCTGGCTGCTGAGCATGTTGAAATACATGGGATTCTGAGGCTGTATCCGTGATTAATTAGCAGTGTTGGCCAAGGGCTTAGGCTTTGGGTTGGTGGTGGTGCCTGGGCCAAATATCTGTCATCTCTCCTGGAGTGTTTACATCATTATAGTCTAATAAGTCTTTACCTCTTACCAGTCACTAGTTGACCTAACCCGACTGTTATCCTGAAGCTTACACCTTCTCTGGCCTTACTACCCCCCGGAAGCTGGGCCAGGGCTTCTCAGATCTTCAAAAGTCAAGTGCAGAGGCATCCTTCAATCAGGGTCTCTGAGCCCAGATCAGCTTTAGGGGTTGGGAGTGAGGAGATCTATGAACCTCTCCAGAGATCAGCAGAATGGGGGCTTTTCTTGTAGGAGGGGTCGCCTGTCCTCAGATTCTCTAAGTGATTGACAGGCAGAAATGGTTAAGAACCTAGTGGCTTGACTAGAATTCTCACAACCTGCTGTAATTCTTCTTCACTTTACTTGAGGAGCAGTGTCTTAGCCTCCTTCCCTGTCCTGCTAGCAATCTCCTCCTCTCTACTAGCCCGATGAGACTACCTGCTTGGGCTCCTCTCTCCAGCCCCTTTAAGATTCTCCTTTGCTCAGGACACCTGGCTGGCTCAGTCCATTAAGCGTCCGACTCTTGGTCTCAGCTCAGGTCATGATCTCAGGGTTGTGAGTTCAAGCCCCACATTGGGCTCCATGCTGGGCGTGGAGCCTACTTAAAAGGGAAAAAAAAAAAGATTCTCCTTTGGTCTTTTTTTTTTAATAGGTACACCTTTTACTTATCCATTACTTTGTTTAGCCTTTTTTTTTTTTTTTAATTGAATTGTAGTTGGATTCTCCTTTGCTCTTTGAGGATAAATGTAGTTTTCACATAATCAAGAACAGGTATAAAGAAAAAACCCTCTTGTGTGTGTCAGCTGTGTTATTCACACAGAATGCTTCTGTGACAGTGTGTGGGGCTTCCCCTATATGAAGCAGTTGTCGGCCATACCAGCTGGGTGTCCTAGAATTCAGTTGGATTCTGACCCTGTCTGCCTGGAGTTCGCATCAGATCCCACGGGTTAATGGAGCAATCCCACAAGGCCAACCAAAGTCCAAGGCTGCCCCCTCCTTGCCCCACTTCAAAGCCAACCAAAAGTCCCAGGCTGTCACCTGTAATTCTGACCTACTGGTTATAAATCAGGGTTCCCACAACCCCTCATAGTGTTCAAAACTTTGTTAGACTGGCTCACAGAACTCAAGGAAACACATTTCCTGGTTTAATATAAGGAATATAGTAAAAGATACAGATGAATGGCCAGCTGAAGATGCATGGGGCAAGGTATGTGGGAAGGGGCCTTCTGGCTTGCCACCCTCCCAGCCCCTGCACATGTTCACCAACCCAGAAGTTCTCCAAACCCCACACTTTGGGGGTTTTTATGGAGAATTCATCACATAGGCATGATCAGTCATTAACTCAGTCTCTATCTCCTCTCCCCTCCCCAGAGGATGGAGGGCATGGGCTGAAAGTTCCAAGCTTCTCCTCATGGCCCACTGAGAGTCATCTCATTAGAACCAAAGACTTCTGTCACCCAGGAAGTTCCAGAGAATTTAGGAGCTCCGTGTCAGGATCCAAGACCAGATAGCAGAAGAAAAGATGCTCCTAATGCTCTTATCACTTAGGAAATCGCCAAGGGTTTTAGGAGCTCTGTGCCAGGAACCCGGGTAGACCAATATATCTGTTTTCTCTTATTTCACAGCAGGTAAATTTTCTATCTTTAAAAAAAGTGGACGTTAGGACAGGGAGCACGAGGCTGGCTCAGTCGGTAGAGCATGCGACTCTTGATCTCGGGATTGTAAGTTCGAGCCCCACGTTGGGTGTAGAGATCATCTAAAAATAAAATCTTTAAAAACAAAAAAAGGTAAACTTTAGGGAACCTTGATCTGATCATAGTATGTGCTCAATAAATATTGTTGAATGGATGGTTGAAATAATTAAACGCTTCTTTTCCCAAACAGCTTTCCTGTTGAAATTAGGTGGTGTTCCTTAGTGTTCTTTGAACGTGTGAAATTGCGTGGATCGGTTACCCCGGCTACCTTCCCTACTACTCTCCCAGCTTGAGTCTTCAAGAGGAAGCCTCAGAACTGGTTTCTAAAACCCTTTGTACCTGGTGCGATTATAAAGCAATGAGACTGATTGTCATGTGTCGCTTGTGGGATCCGTCTCAGTTACTTTATAGCCGTGCCCGGTACCCGACACCGCACACCGTTGCCTGCTGAAGAGCAGTCCAAAAGCACAGACCTCAGGTTTCTTAAATGGAAAATTTGAATGGTTTAGCATTATTTGATGATTTTTCTTTAACTCACTGACCAGAACTCTTATTTCAGAAAGATAAATTAGATGTTAACTTTGTTGCTTGCTTTACTTTTGCAGTTTTCTTTTTGTGTTTTGGATTTTTTTAAATCGGTATTCTGATAAGCTGCTATTCTGATAAAGTGGCTGGCACGATTTTGCATAAGGTAATACAGAAGGTCTGTGTTCCACTGGGTTAAATTCTTCGTGAAACTTTTAATTATTGAATTTCTTTTCAGTTGCCTGTGGCCTTTTGACTGCCTGGGATAACAAGGGTAGTTCTTTTAGTTAAGTACGGTAAACACGTAAACCAAATACTTAGTATTCACTGAGGAAGTCTTTGAAAGGGCAAGTTGTGGGGTGTTTGTTCATTTGGCTTTGGTGGTTTACATTGATGTGCAGACCTTATTCAGATTTGGATAAATAGTTCTAATTTTCTCTTTCCTGAAATAGAAACGTTTCCTCTCCTTCCTCCGGCCCCCAGAGTCTTAGTCTTTGCTTTGAAGTGTGCTGGAATAGTGTGTGCCCGGTAGCTCGTCGCCACCAGCCTCAGCTGAGGAGGACGACCGCGGGCGGCCGGGTGGCATAGCTCAGCTGCCCTTTTTCCTGGAAAGGAGATGGGGACTGACTTCCCTTGTGGAGGAGGAAAGGAGTAATCTCACTCTCCACAGGAGAGAGAGTAGCTTGTGCTGACGGTAGTACTCCTCCTGGAAATTACGTAAGTGAACCAAGTGGATGAGTCAAGGAGCAACTTAGCATCCTGGCAGTTCGTTGCCTTCAGTAGCTTGTCGCTGTGGCAGGACGTCTGGACAGCTGCTAGAAGCTGGAAGGGTTTTGATGCCCAGCTAGTCCAGGGTGTTGACGCTTGGACGTGTCTCAGGGCGGGTTTGATTTCCAGAAGGATTCCGGGGTAAACAAGAAAGGAACCTTCCTCTCCTCAGGTCTAGACGCGAGACCAGAGGGAGTCTCCCTGGTTACTAATGAAGGTCGCAACCACCACGGCGTTTGGCTTTGGCAGCTCTGTTAGCAGACGCGTGTCATGTCGGGGGTATTATAAAGCTGCAGATCCTGTACTTCTTTCTGTTCCTTGTACTAGTTCTGCACACACAGGTGCTCCATAGATATTTCTAAGAAAGAGTAGTGCAAAAAGTACCAATTTTTTGTACTATAAATACTAGCGCTTTTTGTACTATAAATACTAGCGCTGTTCTCCTTTTCCTAAGGAGCATTTTAATGGAAAAGGTTTTACAGTAAAGACCTGCGGTGATTTTATCACATTATGTTGTTGTATCCTGTGTTTTATACTGTCTGTTGTCACATATGGCTGATTTAATCCTTTGTTCTATAAATATAGTTGTAAGACAAGGTAATGTGGCTCCTAGCACTGCAGTCCTTCTACACTTTGTCCGAGTCTTAAGCACTCGACAAAGATTCTTGTTCCCACTTGGTGCCAGCGTACCCAACTGCAGATTCGTTCCATTTGAAAAGGAGAATCTGCAGACCCTTGCTATTAGCAGGAATCGTAGTCTTTTTTCTAAGCAGCGTTTTCATATGTGTGATGTTCCTGTAAGTTTTAAAGGTCACTTGAGCATCTATATTTATTTTACATTACAGGCACTGGAGATATTATTGCTGTCATGATTACAGAATTGAGGGGTAAGGATATTTTGAGTTATCTGGAGAAAAACATCTCTGTACAAATGACAATAGCTGTTGGAACACGAATGCCGCCAAAGAACTTCAGCCGTGGCTCTCTAGTCTTCGTGTCAATATCCTTTATTGTTCTGATGATTATTTCTTCAGCATGGCTCATATTCTACTTCATTCAGAAGATCAGGTACACGAATGCACGCGACAGGAACCAGGTGAGCTCCTGGCACTCTCTAATGATCCATGCTTACCAGCCGTAATTTGGAGATGTCTATTGTGGTCATACACAGGACAAAGTTTTTCACTTAAGAAAAAAGTCGTGACCCTCAGTCGTGTCCATATGTTGAAAACATATTTACATACATCATTTTCTGGATTTTTTTTAAATGCCTGAATGGGGAATTTACCTTTACAGTGATCACTTGGGATATCCTAGGTAAATGGTTAGCTTAGTATCATAATATGATCTGGCTAACTCTAGTAATTTGGAGAACTGTCACGGAGTTGCATTTTTGAGCTGGTAGCCCTGGTTGTCGGTGGCAAGGGGAGCTGGGAGCCTTCACGTACTTTCATTCCCTGTGTGTTATCTATTCAGAAAAATAAGTCAATTACAAATTACCTAACCCTGTTTAAGCTTGGCCGTGGGGTGACAGTGAGGTGGAAAAGGACCCATAGAAGAGAGGTATCTGGTCGTCTGAGAACTTCCATTGGTGAGCACAAACTGAGCTCAGCAGGTTTCAGCTCAGTGACTAAAGACTCAGGAAGGACAAGACAGCGTGCCACCCTGTAGTGGAGGGCCTACAGGCGGTGAGCTTGTCCGTTTGTTAGCTTGTTCGATGCCCTCTAGACAAAACGTGCACCCAAGGGGCCCGGTTGGAAGTGTGAGGTCCCAGCCCCAGTCAGAGGCTTCTCTGCTAGGAAACTAGCAAGGGAGCTGCTTGGAGAGTGGTTTGAAGCCAGTCTTCATGGAATGCCATCCAGACCCCTGTGGGAGAGCTGAAATTTTCAGCCTTCCTCATTCCAGTGAAAGCACAAATACTGCTATGGAACAGATCCGAGTTCGAATCCCGCCCTTATCACCAGTTTATCATCATCAGATCCAGTTTGCCATGGTCTTTCCTTTTTTTTTTTTTTTAAGATTTCATTTATTTATTTATTTGAGAGAGAGAATGAGATAGAGAAAGAGAGCATGAGAAGGGGGAAGGTCAGAGGGAGAAGCAGACTCCCCGCCGAGCAGGGAGCCCGATGCGGGACTCGATCCCGGGACTCCAGGATCATGACCTGAGCCGAAGGCAGTGGCTTAACCAACTGAGCCACCAAGGCGCCCCTGCAGTGGTCTTTCTTAGACAGTTTATTTTACTTCTCAGTTTGTGTCTTCATCTGAAAATTAGGTATAAAATATCTGAAAACTGTAATTTATTGCACATTTATATGCCCTGCTCTGTGCAGTATCCTGTATACCTTTAAAGTTTATTATGATAATTTTTATTATTTATAATTTCATACTTCAAGAAGCTGTGAGAAGAGTATAAAGTATTCCCTTCCCCAGATTCCTCAACTGTTAACATTTTACCCTAGTTCCTGTTCTATGCATACATACTTTTTTTAACCATTTGAGAGTCAATTTGAAATATGATGTCCCTTTACCCTTTAAATACCTCGATGTGTATTTTTAAAAAGCAAGAACATTTCTCACATAATCACAGTACGATTATCATGATCAGGAAGTTAACCTTGGTACAACACCAGATCTACAGATCTGAGATTCTGAGTTCTGTAAAACTGTTGTACTTAGAGCGGCGCTGGCTCAGCCGGCAGAGCATGGCCCTCTTGCTGTCGGGGTTATGAGTTTAGGCCCCACCTTGGGCACGGAGCCTACTTAATAATGTCCTATATAGCAAAGCGAACCCTGGATTGATCCAGATTGTACGTGGCATTCAGTTGCCATGTCCCTTTTTTTTTTATTTTTTTAAGTAAGCTCTGCACCCAATATGGGGCTTGAACTCACAACCCCAAGATAAAGAGTCGCACGCTCTACCGACCTGAGCCGGCCAGGTGCCCCTGTTATGTCTCTTTCAATCTGTCTCATGGCATTGACATTTTTGAAGAGTCCGAGCCATTTGTTTTGTATTTGAGTTTGTCTGACACGTGACGTTTCTGCATCATCAGATCCAGGTTATGTGCATTTTTTTAGGAACACCAGTCCTTTACATTTGTTAAAGTTTTCTTTTTTTTTTTAAAGATTTTATTTATTTATTTGAGAGAGAGAGAATGAGAGAGAGAGCATGAGGGGGGGAGGGTCAGAGGGAGAAGCAGACTCCCTGCCGAGCAGGGAGCCCGATGCGGGACTCGATCCCGGGACTCCAGGATCATGACCTGAGCCGAAGGCAGTCGCTTAACCAACTGAGCCACCCAGGTGCCCTTTTTGTTAAAGTTTTTATTTTGAGGGCGCCTGGGTGGCTCAGTTGGTTAAGCGACTGCCTTCGGCTCAGGTCATGATCCTGGAGTCCCTGGATCGAGTCCCGCATCGGGCTCCCTGCTCGGCAGGGAGTCTGCTTCTCCCTCTGACCCTCCCCTCTCTCATGTGCTCTCTCTCTCATTCTCTCTCTCTCAAATAAATTAAAAAAATAAAAATAAATAAAAAAAATAAAAATAAAGTTTTTATTTTGAGATAACTGTAGATTCACATGCACTTGTAAGAAATAATAGGTCCCAGATAGCCTTCATGCATTTCCCCCCAGGGGTAAAATCTTACATAACTATAGTAAATATTTCAACCGGGATCTTGACATGGATATACCATCCACTGTCTTACTTCGATTTTTCCAGTTTAAACCGTACTGTGTGTGTGTGTATATGGTTCTCTACAATGTCAGGCCACCACCACCATAGTCAAGACACAGAAGAGTCCCCCACCAGGATCCCTCATGCTGTTCTTCTTTCATCCCAGCCCCTGACCTGTCCCCACTTCTGCAGTTCCGTCGGTTCAAGAACGCTGTCTGAATGGAATCCTACAGTACTTCACCTTTAGAGTTTGGGTGTCTTCACCTAACATGACTCCCTCGAGAGCCGTCTGAGTTGCTGCATGTGGGTAGCTTATTAGTTTTTATTGCTGAGTAGAATTGTGTCGCTTGGGTGTACCACAGTGTGGTGAACCAAATTGTTTCAAGGTTTAGGCTATTTTAAAGTGGCTGTGAACATTGTTACAGATGTTTGTGTTAACATGAGTTTGCATTTGCCTTGGGTAAATGTTCAAGAATGAAATATCTGGGTTATTCTGGTAAGCACATACATGATTTTATAAGAAACGGCCATGCCCTTCCCCCAAGTGGCCACAGTATCACACATTTGCACTAGATACGTATCCCTGACCCAGTTCCTCTGCATCCTGCATGGCATGTGTTGCACTCTTTTGTATTTTAGGTGTGTAGTCACATCTCTTCTGTGGTTTTCATTTGCATTCCTCTCATCGCTGCTGATGGGGAACATCTTTTCCTGTGCTTCTTAGCCATCTGTATATCCTCTTCAGTGAAATGTCCGTTCATGGCTTTTGCCCATTTCCTACCTGGGTTGTTTGGGGGTTTTTTTTACCGTTGAGTTTTGAGCGTTGCTACGTTCCAGATGCAAGCCTTTGTCAGAATTGTGGTCGGCAGATATTTTCTCCCGGTTTGTATCTTGTCTTTTCAACCTCTTAACGGGGCCTTTTGAAGAGCAAACATTTTTAATTTTGATGAGGTTTAATTTATCAATTTTGCTATTGCTGCAAGTCTAAAAACTTTTTTGCCTAGCCCTAGATTCCAAAGACCTTCTCTTTTTTTCTAGAAGTTTTAGAGTTCTGCATTGTACATTGAAGTCCATGATCCATTTTGAGTTAATCTTTGTATAAATAAGAGATTTGGGTTAAGGTGTTTTTTTTTTTTTTCTCTCATTTTATGTCTGATACTGCAACTTTGCCAAAACTTAGTTGGGCATATTTATGTGGATCTGTGTCTGCTTTTCTGTTCTGTTCCACTGAACTATGTGTGTATCCCTTTGTCCATCCCACAGTGCCATGATGACTGTAGCCTCAGTCTTGGATAGAGTGGTTCCTCCCACTTCATTCTTATTTTTCAAGATTATTTTATCTATTCTAGGTCCTAGAGTCTTTCCATATAAATTTTAGAATAAGCTTGTCTGTGTCTTCACCAAAAAAGAAAAAAACAAAACACCACACAGAACCTTGCTGGGATTTCTATATGAACACATTAAACCATAGATCAATTGGGGGCAGAACTGATATATTTACTGTGTTGAATCTTCCAGTCCACGAACCTGTAATGTTTTTCCACTTATTCAGGTCCTTTTTATTCCTTTTGTCAGCATTTTGTAGTTTTTAGCATATAGATTCTGTGCATGTTTTAAGTTTATACCTAAGTATATCGTTTTGTTTGGAGTGACTGTAAATGGTAGTATAATGGTAAATGGACTGCAAAAGTGTTTTTAACTTCTTCAGGTTCCATATATTCATTGTTAGTAGATCAGAATGTGATCCATTTGTGTGTTGACTTTTTACTCTGCAGTCTTGGTAAACTCACTTCCTGTAGATTGCTTGGGATTTTCTGTACAGACAATAACATTATCTGCAAATAGGGAGTGTTTTACTTCTTCCTTTCCAGGTTCCCTTGCCCTTGTTTTTGCTTTGTTTGTTTGTTTTGCCTTAATTGCAGTAGCTAGAATCTTCAGTGCACTGTTGAATGACAGTGGTGAGAGTGGGCATCCTTGCCTGCACCCAGTCCTAGAGGAAAGGAAGGGATTCAGTCTTCCATCGTTAAGTGTGTTTTAGCTCGCAGGTTTTGAAGACGTTTACTACCAACTTGACGAAGCTCCTCTGTGTTTCTAGTTTGCTGAGAGCTTTAATCATAAATGGGTGTTCCGTTTTGTCACATGTTTTTTTTTGTGTCAGTTGATGTGATCAGGCGATTTGTTTGTTTGTTTTCTTCTTTATCCTGTTGACATGGTGGATTGCATCCATTGATGTTCTAAAGAGGGTAATAAATCCCACCTCATCGTGGTGTGTGATTTTTTGTGCATTGCTGAATTCGGCTGCTTAATTTTGTTGAGGATCTTTGTGTCTAAGTTCATGAGAGATACCAGTCTGTAGGTTTTTTTTGGGGGGGAAGATTATGATTTCTTTAATGGTTAAAAGACTGTTCAGTTTGTCTATATCATCTTTTTT